TTGCTCGAGCATTAGTTCAGTTGGAAATTGTCGTAAACAAAACTTGCATGAAAAACAATGAGCTCCTGGATTTTGTTTGGCATGTATTTGGTATAACTTAAATGTACTAAATAATTTTTTACATCCTTTACAAACTACTTTATCCTCAGGACCATGAAGAGCTATATGAGATTCAAATTTGAGATTGTTATCAAATTTTTCATTACATATATGACATTTAAACAATCCCTGGTTTTTTTGAGAAAGTTTGCCTTGCTAAAAAATATATATGAAAGCATTAGAAAATTAAAATACAATCTTACAATTTGTTTTTTAAATCAAAAACTTACATTCTTTTTTTCACATTCATCATTATTATTACAATTGAAATTAGTATTGTTTTCAGTATTTTTTTGGTCTTCAAAATTGTTTAAATCACTATTACTTTTTATATTTTTAGAGTTTCTTTTTTTTTTACATAAATGGCTTGTAGTTATTGCTTCTACACTATTACAACACTTATAAAATTTATGTTTATATGGGTACAATTTTGCATGTTTTTGATAAGATGTCTTGAATTGAAATTGTTTATTACATATTTCACAAGTACGTTTAAATTTAGGTGTTTCTTCATTCACCATCGTTAAATTTGTTTATATGCAAACCTCCTTATTAAATTCATTTTTTTTAAAAATTGTTTTTAATTTACACTTTATTCACCGCAATGACTAAAAATACTAATTTAAAAATTACTTTAAACTTATAGCAGAACTACATTTAAATTTTTTATTTTTACTTTAAAAACAACTGAAATAAAATATGATTTATAATATTTAGAACAAGTAACACATTCCAGCGTAAAGATTTTATTAATCTTAACTTTAATAAAAATAACTAAAATTGTTATGCTTTAAAATTTATTCAAATAAAAAAAAAAAATTGTAAGCTTTAAAAAATTCTTAAATAAACAATATTAATTTGAAGTGTTTACCTAAAGTGGTACTAGAAGTTACGAAAGACGTGGCAGAAATAAACGATATATTATAAGAACTTATAAGTATTGTAATGTTTTATATATTACTTTAATTGTAAAAATGAATTTAGTAATTTAATTTGAAATAGTTTTTATCTAAAAATAAAATAAAGGTAAAGTAACTGTCATTTTAATTAAAAATAAAAATAAAAAAAGATTAATGTTGTAATTATTTTAAATATGTTAAATTATGTAAATTTAATTTGTAAGTTACTTTACCATGCTTCCATTTTTTACATTATAAAAACCAATATTCTGAATTTAAAATACAAAATTATAAATTATTAATAAGTTAATATTTGTATTGAATTGTAAATTGTAATTTTATTGTTTAAAAAGAAATAAAAAACTATTAAAAAAATTGTAAAAGTCTAATAAATTAATTATGTTTTTGTTTTTTCAGTTTTATTTACAATGAGTGATAAAAAGAAGAAAGAAAATCAAATATTTAGTAATTTAGAATTTAAAAAGAAAACTTTTAATATAAATGATGCAAAACCATTATTTTCAAAAGATGGATCATCTTTGTATATTTTCTCAGAAAATGTTTGTCATTTGTACAGTACAACTACAGGAAATTATATAAAAAAATTGTTTTCTTGCTCATCGAAAATCATTTCTTATCATCTTCATCCGTTAGATGAAAATTTTTTAGTTACAATTACTGAAAATGGAGAAGTTACAGTTTATAATTTGAAAGAAAATAAAATAGAGCATTCGACAAATTTATGCATCAATAAGACACTTTTATGTTCTTTGAAAATACAGAAATTTAGTTCTGAACATGATGAAAATTGTGACTTTGATTGGAATTCGATTGATTTGGAAAATATAGGAAATAGAAAATTTATACATGCTGTTGTTAAACCTTTTCAAGGTGATTCAGGAAATCTATTAATATGGGCAAGTTGGTGTTTAAATGATGAAACAGAAGCACACATTTCTGTCTTTTCATATCAGAGTGGTACACACTACAAGGACTTTGCTTTCAAACAATGCAAACTAAAAAAGTGTTCAAAAAATTTTGTGTTATCTAACTCTCAAGAGCATGATGTTTTCATTGGAATATCTGAACATTGCTTAAATGTTGCTCATTTTCAAAATAAGGATTCCTTTTATTATTCTATCAGAAAACACTATACAGGATTGAATAACACTGTAATTTGTGTTGCATTTCATCCCACAGAGTACTGCTTTGCAACTGGAGATTCAATCGGAAGAATTATCATTTGGAAAAATATTTTCGAACAATATCCATTAAAAGAAATGTTTCACTGGCACACATTGGCTGTGAATGATTTAATATTTTCTAAACTTGGGTAATAACATATTTAGCGGAGAGAAGAAAATGTTTTGGTTAAATGGTCATTATCAACTCAAAAAAAACGTTTTTTACCAAGATTATCATCTGCTTTAATCTCTCTTTCTGAAGCTTCTGATGCTTCACTACTATCCGTTTTAACATCAGATGGAAAAATATTAATTTTAGATTTTAATTTTAATATTGTATCCGTAATACAGAATTTTTCAGTTGTGAATTCTTTAAACAGTTCTAAAAATCTAAATATTCTTTCATTTGATCCCAGGAGTAACAGCATTGTTCTGAATGGGAAAACAGGACACATTCAATTTTTATCATTGAAGGATTTCAATAAATTAAATTATACATTTGATGTGACAAATAGAAATTACGTCACGCCTCATACAACTTGTTCGGTAGCAAATACCGAAGTGAATCATGCGATATTCAGTCCGAAAGGCGACTGGATGATAACAGCCGAAAGTAGAATTGAAAAAGATTGTTACGAATCGTTTTTAAAATTCTGGAATTACGTTCCAGAAAATGGATCGTACAAATTAAATACAAACGTCGAATTCCCTCACGGAGGCGTAGAAATTTATTCTTTAGAAATTAGTTCTAGTTCCATAGTGGGATCAACCGGTCCCGATAAAAGGTTTTGCCTCTGGGCTATAGAAGAACAAATAAACGGAAACGTTATAAAAGAAATTTGGTCTTTGTACAACGATAGAAAATATCGAAATTTTTCCAGTTACGCGTTGGATTTTTCAAAAGACTCATCATTGGTTGCGGTTACTTTTGGTTCCGTCGTCACGATTTGGGAAACGGATTCGTGCCTGCTTAAATGTTCATTATCCTGTCCGAACAACAAAAACGACTTGAAAGCATGCAAGTTTGGAAACAACGAATTCACACATTTAATTATCGCAGGTTCGGAATTTAACGTTTGCTGCTGGAACTCGTTAACGTTATCCATGGTATGGACGGTACCGTTCAATTTGAGTATATTAGCAAGCGATCCCATCGGCAACAACATGGTATTATTTTCGAAAAAAGTCGTTGTGATATTTTCACCCTCTTCTCCGACTTCGCTTTATTTAAAAAATTACAATTTGGAATCTCCCGTGATTGCCGCGAAAATACTTCCGGATAATAAGGGAAAATTTTCGGTTTTGATACTAACAGAAAATTACGAGTTGCACTGTTTGGAACACGTGGACACGGATCCGGTTTTACTCAAGAACAGCAACAACAGCAATCAGGATCCATCAGTTATTTCATCGACTCCGTATTCATCTCAAATCCCTCAAATACAAAACGAAAATATGGAAAATTCATCGTCTTCGAAAAAATTGATATCAGTTTTAAAAAATAAACGTGAAACGGTATCTCAATTGCTGGATTCTCCAGCGCACACGTTATCGAATCCATCTCTTTTGTGTTCGCACGTATTAAAAGGATTATTATTTTTTTCACTCGATAAACCTTATTTATCACGTTTATCTAAACTTAAAAAAAATAACAGTTTTAAAAAATTTTCCGAAGGGGATGGTAAAACAAATGATTGTGAAATTATAGAAAAAGATTTATTAAATATCGTGAAAACGATTTTTTAAAAAAAAAAAAAAAAAAAGAAAATTTGAAATGTAAACAAAGGGGGGTTGTTTACTTTTTTTTTTTTTTTTGTCACACGTGGTTGTTCGTTGTTATCA